GTGAAACCCTCCTACCCTCATACAGGTGTCGTCTCCCGTGTAGGATCAAAGTCCAGCCACCAGACACTTCTGGAACATTCCAGGACTCCCGGGCCCCCCAAGGGTGCTCTCGGTGGCACCTCAGGACTCAGATCCTGAGATCCCACAGACACAGTCTGACCTAATCTGAGGTGAGCTCACCCAGAGCACCCCCGAACCCTCGCTCCGTGCCCACCTTCAGTGAAACAGGCATCGGGGTCCAGGTACTCCTCGGGGGCCTCCACGGGCACCTCCTCCACCTCCGGCTTGATGTCGATGGTGCTGCCCTCGGAGGAGCTGCTCTCGTCCAGTTTCTGCAGCACAAAACCCCAACCCAATCACCACCGAGCGTCAGCCCCAAAAAACACCAAACTTGGCAGGACTCAGCTGCTTCCTCACCACATTTGCTGTCATGGATGTTGTTTCCTCGCTTTAATCAAGGAGATCCTGACCCAGCTTATGTCTCATGTTAACAGGACAGACAGGGTTAAATGTTATTATATTTAATATAGGATTAAATATTTACATTATGAAAGGTGTCCCTGTCCATGGAGGAGCTTGGAACTAGATGATTTTTAAGCTCCTTTCAACCCAAGCTATTTTATTATTACATATACTTTACTATGATAATATGTTTTTTATTTATATATATATTTAGTTAGTTAGTTATTTTTACATTGCATTTTATGACTATATACGACTATATATATGACTATATATATGACTATATATATAGTCATATATATAGTCTATATATATGACTATATATATATTATTTCTATTTTATTTTATTTTATTTTATTATTATTATATTTCTTTTACTATAACTATGGCATAAATATATTATATATATATATTTACAGTATATACAGAACATATATTTATTTAGAATATATATATTTAGAATATATAAATATATCTACTAAATATTAAAATTAAAATATAAATTAAAATTAATTAAATTAAAAATTAAAATAAATTAAAATTAAATATAAACATATTTAGTATATATATAGTATATATAAATACATAGCATACATAAATATACGGTATATATAAATATATTTTATTTATACTATACTATTTATATATTTATTTGTTATTTATTTATTATATATTTATTATTTATTATTATTTATACTATGCAATTTATATATCTTTATATATACCATATGTAGTATATATATTTATATAACCATTCTATGATTGCATATATTTATTTTATCTTTATTTTTAAGTATTTGTGGCTTTCCACAGAGCACAAGAAATTCCATTTTGAGTGCAAAGACAACATCCCAACACCAACAAAAGTTGAGTGCTGGAACTACCCAGCTCTCCTTGCCCAGAGGTTTCCTGGCCCTCCCAGTGGACTGAATGACCTGAGGGAATTTGGAGCCCTCCCATCCAACGCCCTGAGTGGGTTTGGATCCCTCTCTCCCAACATCCCAAGTGAATTTGGTGCCCTCCCAATGTCCCGAGTGAATTTGGTGCCCTCCCAATGCCCCGAGTGAATTTGGAGCCCTCCCAGTGCCCCAAATGGATTTGGAGCCCTCCCTCTCAATGCTCCAAATGGATTTGGAGCCCTCTCAGTGCCCCAAATGGATTTGGAGCCCTCCTTCCCAATGCCCCAAATGGATTTGGAGCCCTCTCAGTGCCCCAAATGGATTTGGAGCCCTCCCTCTCAATGCCCCAAATGGATTTGGAGCCATCCTTCCCAATGTCCCAAGTGGATTTGGAGCCCTCCCAATGCCCCAAATGGATTTGGAGCCCTCCCTCCCAATGCCTCGAGTAGATTTGGAGCTCCCAATGCCCCAAATGGATTTGGAGCCCTCCCTCTCAACGCTCCAAATGGATTTGGAGCCCTCCCTCCCAATGCCCCAAATGGATTTGGAGCCCTCCCAGTGCCCCAAATGGATTTGGAGCCCTCCCTCCCAAAGCCCCAAGTGAATTTGGAGCTCCCAATGCACTGAGCAGATTTGGAGCCCTCCCAATGCCCCAAGTGGATTTGGAGCTCCCAACACCCCAAGTCAATTTGGAGCTCCCAACACCCCGAGTGGATTTGGAGCCCTCCCTCCCAAAGCCCCAAGTGGATTTGGAGCTCCCAACTCCCTGAGTGGATTTGGAGCCCTCCCAACGCCCCAAATGGATTTGGAGCCCTCCCAACACCCCAAGCAGATTTGGAGCCCTCCCAATGCCCCAAGTGGATTTGAAGCCCTCCCTCCCAACGCCCTGAGCGGATTTGGAGCTTCCAATGCCCCAAGTGAATTTGGAGCCCTCCCTCCCAATGCCCCAAATGGATTTGGAGCCCTCCCTCCCAACACCCCGAGCGGATTTGGAGCCCTCCCAAAGCCCCAAATGGATGTGGAGCCCTCCCAAAGCCCCAAATGGATTTGAAGCCCTCCCTCCCAACGCCCTGAGCGGATTTGGAGCCCTCCTCCCACCTCCTTGCTGCCATCAGGATCCGTGTCGCTGCTGAAATCCTCCGTGTTGAGGTTCTCGAAGTCGGACTCGCCCACGGCGATGGGGACGCGCACGGTGAGGTTGGGGTTGTTGATGAAGGACATGTGGTCCTCGTCGATGATGTACTTCTCCACGCTGCTGCCGATGCCGCTGGTGGTGCCGTTGCCGTTCTTGAGGAAGTCGATGTCGCGGTTGATGTCGGCGCCGGTGTGGTTGGCGATGCAGTTCACCTTCTTGTCGTAGAGCTCGTCCAAGGGCTTCACCTCGTCGGCCTCCCTCTGCTTGAAGTGGGCCTGCATGAACTCCCTGACCTTGGCCTTGGTCCAGGCGATGCCCTTCTTGATGCGGATCACCGAGATCTGCAGGTTGTTCATCTCGCCGTCGTCGTCCGTGGCTGCCAGGTTGTCTGCGCTGAAGGAGCTCAGCAGCAAGGCCAAGAACAGGTTCAGCACCTGGAAGGGAAGAGCTGATGCTGCACTGACACACAAAGGGGGGGTTCCCAAGGCTGAGCGGAGCTCTCAGCGCCCACGCCCTGCTGATGCTGCAGAGCTGTCTCCAAACACCAGCTCAAACTCATCCAGGTGCCCATCAGGTTCAAGCCATGACCCCCTGATGCTGCAAAAAGCTCCCTGAGGAGTGCCAGGGGTCCAGGGCAGGTCCAGGGGTCCCTGGATGGAGCCCCTTGCAGGATCTGGACTGCAGAGGTCAGAGAGGGATTTAATCCCCATGGGATTTAGATTCAGCCTTACTGGTTTAGTCCCATCTCTGCCTCAAAGAAAAATGGGGTAAATCTTGGCATTTTGAGTGATCCCTCCCAGCTCTACTTCCTCACCCACATTTAGGGACCATCCCCAAGATTTATTTCATCAAAACCCTTTGGCAAGACAGGACCTCTCAGAGAGAGCTCACAACTACTTTGAAGAACCATTCATGTGACTTCATTCTTGCTCACATTTTCCTCCACAGACTTTTCTTGGTGAAATTTAAGGCCAGAAGGAAGCATCATGATCTAGTCCAACCTCCCACACAACAGGCCGTGCAGTTTCACAGCCCATTCCTGCACACAACAGCACCTCATGACTGAGCCAGTGGGCAGGTTTTAGAAGAAACCTCCATTCCTCATTTTAACGCTTCAGGACCTTCCCCTGTGCACCAAATTATTTTGTTTTCTGGCAATTAAAACGCCAGGTTTTGCTTGTTTTAGCTTATTTTCCCCCTCAGATCAGGTCTGCACACTTTGACTGAGGCGTTCAGACTTTCAAGATTTTCTTGCAAGATGCTTCACTTACGGGTGACTGTTTAAGGTCCTCATCAAGCAAAAAACATCTTTAACATTGTGCTACCAAAATCTACGGATTGACAGACCAAAGGCCAGGAGGAACCTCCACAGAGCAGGAACAGGCTCACAAACCATCACTCCCTCATCCTGGCGGTCTCCCCAAGTCCTACCCCATCCAGAGGCAACCAAGAAAAGCCCACCAGGAACCATTTACTGACCACTAAATTTCCGATGACCATGACCATCATGAAGACAATCAAGCACATGGCCTGTCCCGCCACTTCCATACAATCCCACATGGTCTCAATCCACTCCCCACACAACACACGGAAGACAATAAGGAAGGAGTGGAAGAAATCGTGCATGTGCCAGCGGGGTAGCTCACAGTCCGGACTGATCTTGCAGACACACTCCTTGTAGCTTTTGCCAAAGAGCTGCATCCCCACCACGGCGAAGATGAACACGATGATGGCCAGCACCAAGGTCAAATTCCCCAAGGCACCCACTGAGTTACCAATGATTTTTATCAGCATGTTCAGAGTGGGCCAGGACTTGGCCAGTTTGAAGACTCTCAGCTACAAAAACAACACCAAAACAAGCAAATCTTAAGCAAAGAGGAAAATAAAGCTGAACTTCTTAAATTACAACCATCTTGTGTTTTACATCAAGGTAAATCCATGCTACTGAGGGTACAGGGGGCAGAGAATGCTTAACCTTTCTTTGAGTATTTTGTACTTTTGTAATCAGTTACTCCCCACACTGAAATATTGAGTTATTCCCAAAGCAAAAGTCACCCTTCCCTGCCCAAATGCATCAAGCGCTGCTCACATTTCATAAAGAGCAGTCCTGAAGAAAGAAGAGACCATAAAAAATGGCACCGTTTGACCTCTGTCCTCCCCAAATCCAGAAAATTGATTTTCCATTGTACTATGTAAATGGGAAAAACTCTTTATGTGAGGGGAAGGGCTGGAACTGTGCCAGGGAAGGGATAGGTTATTGGGAAAAGGTTCTTCCCCTGGTTGGGCACTGAGCAGGGAATGGTCAGTGCCACAGCTCAAAGGATGTTTGGACACCACTCCCAGGGATGCCCAGGGTGGGATTGTTGGGGTGTGGAGCTGCACTGGATGTCCCTTGTGGGTCCCTTCCAGCTAAGGACTCTCCATGATTCTGTGATTCTAAGCTCCACGATAATATCACTGAGAAAGAGCTGGAATTTGGAATACCAATCGGAAAGATCGCAGCACGGAAAGTCCCTCCACATCAGCCAGACTCAGCTCCATCAAACTCAGGGAGACAATAAACCCATCAAAGATGTTCCAGCCTTCCTGAAAATAATAGTATGGATCCATTGCAATGAGCTTCAGGAACATTTCTGCTGTGAAAATCCCAGTGAAAACCTGGAGTGGGGAGGAGGGACAGACAAAGAACACACAAAGAGTAATTTTTAATTTATTTTCAGATCTTCAGGCTAAGTCTCCACAATGCAATTGACTCAAAGTCCAAGCCCACATCAATACTCAGGCACCCCAGCAGGAGCAGAGCTGTGGGGAGCATTTAGCAGATTTCCTTACCAGATTTCCTACAGAGAGCACGTGCTCGAACTCAGGGGTCATGGGGTGGTGCTCCATGGCCATGAACAGCGTGTTCAGCACGATGCAGATGGTGATGGCCAAGTCCACAAAAGGATCCATGACAATTAAGTTCACAATCTCCTTCAGCTTCATCCAGTATGGGTGGCATTCCCAGATCAGGAAGGTGTTGGCAAATTTGTACCAGCAAGGGGGACACTTCCTCTGGGACTCTTCCAGCTCTGCAGGTACAAAACAAAACAGAGTTCAGGCTTCGTCTCTGAGGGTGAAGAATTACAAAACTGTGAACTTGGTGGAAACGGCCGTGGAGAAGAGCTGGGTAAAGTTTGTGGGCATCAGGGAGAAATCCTTCATGGGAAGGGTGGTCAGGGAGGTTTGGAGTCCCCAGCCCTGGGTGTCACCAAGGAATGCCAGGACGTGGCACTCAGTGACAAGGTGGGGATTGGTCACAGGTCAGACCCGACCGTGGAGCTCCTTTCCAACCTCAAGGATTCTTGGTTTTCATGATTTTACTGCGCTCCATGACTGCTCCTCTGTCCCTACACCAGGTGACCAGAACTGCAGCTCTAACCCTGCGCTTCAGCCCCACCAGCATGATTCAATGCAAATTATTCCAAATGAAGGGTTATATTTAACTCAGAACTGATCAAGGTAAAGCAGTTAAAACCAAAGTTACAGATTCCAAACTGCCTTTGCTGCCAGTTTTTAAATAACTGAGATGAATTCTGTGCTGAACACAGACACGGTCTAAAAGAGGAAAGAGGTGACATAATGCTGCAAAGGATTTTCAGCAGGAATAACCTGATTAAGACTAACTACATCCATTTACAGAAATCAAACACAGAAACGCTGTGTCCATTTATTTTTTACACTGGCTTATCTCAAGTGCTTAGGGAAAAAAAAATACAAACGAGGAGTTGTCCCCATTTGTTGACTTGCTGGTCCCAGTCAGGCCATGCAGCTGTGCACCCTCACCTTTTATTTTTTATGGGAAGGGAAAGGACCACTGTGCTCTCCTTCCCATTGGCTCTCTGGTTGCTTAGTATTTAGTTGCCTTGGAATTTCTGAAGTTAAAAAGAGGCCCGTGGCACTGGAGCCCGTAGGCGTTTGCGCAGGAGGGGAGCGGCAGCAAAACCCTGCTCTGTTTCTAAGTATATTTAGTTTTCCTACAATTTTATTGCAGGAGACAGCAGGAATTTGAGATCATCAGCCGCGTGTGGCTGCTGTTCATGAATTCTTGCTGGCTCCTGCATGACATATTGGGAAATCTCATCTCCATGTGCTGTCCATTCCAGCATTGCCACCAGCCAACAGCCCCTTTCTCTGCTGGCAGCTGTCACACTGCAGCTCCCAGCACAGCTCCAATCCTCCAATCCTTCTCTCCCACTCCTGGAGCAAAGGGAGGTCTCTCCAGTGCTCGGGGATGGCACAGGACAGAACGCCCAGACCTGACACTGCCTTACTCCTCTGATCTCCACACTGCATTCTCTTCATCGTAAAATTACAACTCTTTGCTGCCTTTACCTCCATCTCTGTGCAATCTGGATGCCAAAACTAAGTAAAATAAAATCTAATAAGTATTTCTTTATTAATAAAGACCCAAAAGAAGCAGATTTAGGCAAAACCATGCAGGAATATGTACTGCTGTGAAGCAGGGGGAGCTGAATTCCACTAGACCAGGTTGCCCCAAGCCTTGCCCAACTCAATCCTGGACACTTCAGGAATGGGGAAATTTCTCTGGGCAACCCCACCCTCACAGGGAAGAATTCTGTCCCAGTATCCCATCCATCCCTGCTCTCTGCCACTGGGAAGCCATTCCCTGTGTCCTGTCCCTCCAGCCCTTTGTCCTAAATCTGTCTCCAGCTCTCTTGGAGCCCCTTCAGGCACTGGAAAGGGCTCAGGGGCGTCCCTCTAATCCCCAAATCACACCTACCCTCAACAAGGGTGTTGGTCAACCCAGTCATGACACTGTTGGTCCGATCCTTCCTTCCATAGGACGCGTTCACCTGATCCATTGAGACCAAGAGAGACCCACCAGGCTTCTTCCTAATTTCGATCTCAGTGGTACCCTGAAAAATTCAGATGGTGATTAATGCAGACTTGAGTCTTCTCTCTTACCCACTCTCAGCCCAGAAATGCAGCACTTGGTCTGCATTTCCATATTCTGTATTTTCCATATTCTGTATTTTCCATATTCTGTATTTTCCATATTCTGTGCATCCCTCTGTCCTTCCCACCTTCCTACAATATGCAAGTGGTCCAACCAAAACTCAAGCCCTTTTTTCTGTTGGATCAGTGCTCTGCAGCCTTAGATAAATTACAGACTGCATTTTGGAGAACATTTCTAATGACATACAATTTATCTAAGAACCAAACAGATGGGCATTGCTGGTCAGACCACATTGGTCAGACCATGCTGGTCCGACCAGACCACATTGGTCAGACCATACTGGCCAGACCATGTTGGTCAGACCATGCTGGTCGGACCATGCTCGTTTGACCACACTGGTCACACTATGCTGGTCAGATCACACTGGTCAGACCATGCTGACCAGACCATGCTGGTCAGACTATGCTGGTGAGACCGTGCCAGTCAGACCATGCTCATTTGATCATGCTGGTCAGATCCCACTGTTCAGACCTTGCTGACCAGATCATGCTGGTCAGACCATGCTTGTCCAACCAGACCATGCTCATCTGACCATGATCATTTGACCACGCTGGTCAGACCATGCTGACCAGACCACACTGCTCAGACCATGCT